TCTACAGGTGAGAATTACTTTACAGACTTTATCTACAGGTGAGAACTACCTTACATACCTTTGTCTACAGGTGAGAATTACTTTACAGACTTTATCTACAGGTGAGAATTACTTAACAGACTTTATCTACAGGTGAGAACTACCTTACATACCTTTGTCTACAGTGGAAAGTTTCCTGTTGCGAGGTTCAGCTGTGGCATTCGACACCTGGTGAAATTGATTGTAACTTTCTTTGGCCTTAGGACTTTTTGACACAGGTGACCCGGGCTCTGAGCTGTCAACAGAGTAACACATTTCAGGGATGTAACAAGCTTACTTCATGGGAAATAGACATCACAACATTAGGATACAAGATCTTTCTTCATTTTGTCTGGGATATGTTTTATCACTAGAAGTAAGAATATTTAAAAAGATCTTAGGGTGTCCTTATATTTTAAACTGAGCCTGTTGCTGGTCTCTTATCACAGACACTTAAATTTTCAAATTTCAATTGACATGTTTTGAAGTGATAGCTAGATCACCAAATTCTATACAAAAAAAGCACATTACATATATATAATAACCTGTTCATACAAACAAGTGCCACATACCCACTTACCACATTCGTACAATAGCTTCAGACTTACAACATTAATACCATAGCCACAGACTTACTACATTCATACAATATCCACAGACTAACCACATTCATACAATAGCCACATACTTACCACATTCATACAATAGCCACAGACTAACCACATTCATGCAATAGCCACAGACTTACCACATTCATACAATAGCCACATACTTACCACATTCATACAATAGCCACATACTTACCACATTCATGCAATAGCCACATACTTACCACATTCATACAATAGCCACAGACTTACCACATTCATACAATAGCCACATACTTACTACATTCATACAATAGCCACAGACTTACTACATTCATACAATAGCCACAGACTTACCATACATGTAGATGGGATTGCCTGCCACAGTATTTCTACTCTTTGACAAGCTTCCCTTTCGAAAAAAGTGCAGGTCTACCAATCCTGCCAATTTGATTGGCCAATTTTTATATCTCAAAAGGGGATATTCTTTTCTAATATGGCATCTGACAATTATCGGTGAAAAAATCAAACCACAATTTCTTACAGGCACTTTTATCTCTAATTTACTTTGAATTGGTCACTTCTGAATAACATTGTTGTTAGTGATCATGGGAACAACTCTTAATACTGCCGGTTGAGAATTAACTGTTTCATTCACGAAGGCTTGTTTCAAACAGGCGTTCAACGTGTCCGTTATTTAAACCCACATCAATGAGAACAGGGACCCATTATATTTTGTTCAAACAGTAATGTCAACTTTGAAAGAAAATATTTTCACACTGATTTCAATACGTCTACCATACTGAATGCTCCTTTTTCAACCTCCCACATGTCTCCAATGTAAACTAGAGAGAATTTGCCACATCCACAATATAGCGAGAATAAAATTGTCTAAACTTTAGTTCTCACTAATTCAGTTGACAAGACTGAATTAACCATCAGTGATGGCGTTCCTGATCTGTCTTAGCATCAAAGAGTGCAACACAAACAAGAGGCCCATGGGTCTTAACGGTCACCTGATATATTTATACAGAGAGTTGATTTTGTTTTTAACATGAACAGAAATATTATTCAAAGTGACAAAAAACAATAAAACCACCTTATTCAATATCTAGCATACAGATTTCAGACTAAAAAGTATTTGAAACTAGCACCTCTAATTCTAAACAAGGAAAATGAAGAAATTTTAGCACACTGACTCCTTTGAGCC